ATTTATTGTTTAGCGTCGTCATCAGGGCCGTTGCTCCCGCATTTCCCCCCCCCCCCCTCCCCCACATGTAGTCTTCATTTTATTCCATTGAAAAGATCCTAACGAATAAAAAGATCGTTGCAATCACACTCTCTGTGGCTTTGTGCTGATATTTATCAGGGAACATGTGGCCGGTAGATACATACCAAATGTCCAGTGGTGGACTTTTCTATTTGCTGTACGTTTCTTTACATGTCAACGGTATAAGAGGCTGCAGTTGCTACATTATGTTGAGATCATTTTTAACATTACTTGCAAAGCAACTCTAGTACAGGTTAGTGCTATTCAAAGTGAACTACAGATGACTCACGAGCTGATAATATGAATGTAAACAGTGAAACTATTTTGGGTCTAATGCACATGGACATCTCAAATGTATTAATAAAATAAAAGATGAGGACAAATAAAATCAACATTGAAGGCATGAATTAAATACATGATTAAATGAAATATTGTCCATAAAGCCGGGATATAGATTAAGATATAACTTTAAGCTGCTCTCAGTTCCTCAAGCAAACATAAAAACTAATAACTGCCTCACCCAAAGTTTTTTTTTTTTTTTTTTTTTTTTTTTTTTTTTTTTTTTTTTTTTTTCTTTCTTTTTTTTCTGCACTCTGTAACAACTGAAGGACTAGTGCCAGAGGACCTGAGGGGCGTCCTGGTTCACACATTGGAAGGATGTCAGACGAGTCGGCTAATGCATCGACCACGCCTTTTAAAGACTAGAACAATCATTTTAAAATCAATGTGGGAACTGACAAGCGAGTATTCACATCCTCTACTTAAAAATAAAAGTGCTAATACCACATGGTAAAAATGCTTCATTACAAGTCCTGCATTGAAAATGTTTTTTAACTGAAAGTATGTCATTATACTCAGCAAAATAAAGTAATAGGAGTATTAAAAATAAAAGTACTTGATAAAGAAAAATATCCCTGTGATGCTTGTACAATTACAGTTGTGTGAAAAAGTGTTTGCCCCCTTCCTGATTTCTTATTTTTTTGCATGTTTGTCACACTTAAATGTTTCAGATCATCAAACAAATTTAAATATTAGACAAAGATAACACAAGTAAACACAAAATGCAGTTTTTAAATGAAGGTTTTTATTATTAAGGGGGAAAAAAATCCAAACCTACATGGCCCTGTGTGAAAAAGTGATTGCCCCCCCTGTTAAAACATAAATTAACTGGTTTATCACATCTTTGGAAAGCTGAGTTCAATTTCTCTAGCCACACCCAGGCCTGATTACTGCCACACCTGTTCTCAATCAAGAAATCACTTTAATAGGACCTGCCTGACAAAGTGAGGTAGACCAAAAGATCCTCAAAAGCTAGACATCATGCTGCAATCCAAAGAAATTCAGGAACAAATGAGAAACAAAGTAATTGAGATCTATCAGTCTGGAAAAGGTTACAAAGCCATTTCTAAAGCTTTGGGACTCCAGCGAACCACAGTGAGAGCCATTATCCACAAATGGCGAAAACATGGAACAGTGGTGAACCTTCCCAGGAGTGGCCGGCCGACCAAAATTACCCCAAGAGCGCAGCGACGACTCATCCAAGAGGTCACAAAAGACCCCAGAACAACATCCAAAGAACTGTAGGCCTCACTTGCCTCAATTAAGGTCAGTGTTCATGACTCCACCATAAGAAAGAGACTGGGCAAAAATGGCCTGCATGGCAGAGTTCCAAGACGAAAACCACTGCTGAGCAAAAAGAACATAAAGGCTCGTCTCAGTTTTGCCAGAAAACATCTTGATGATCCCCAAGACTTTTGGGAAAATACTCTGTGGACTGACGAGACAAAAGTTGAACTTTTTGGAAGGTGTATGTCCCATTACATCTGGCGTAAAAATAACACGGCATTTCAGAAAAGGAACATCATACCAACAGTAAAATATGGTGGTGGTAGTGTGATGGTCTGGGGCTGTTTTGCTGCTTCAGGACCTGGAAGACTTGCTGTGGTAAATGGAACCATGAATTCTGCTGTCTACCAAAAAATCCTGAAGGAGAATGTCCGGCCATCTGTTCGTGACCTCAAGCTGAAGCGCACTTGGGTTCTGCAGCAGGACAATGATCCAAAACACACCAGCAATTCCACCTCTGAATGGCTTAAGAAAAACAAAATGAAGACTTTGGAGTGGCCTAGTCAAAGTCCCGACCTGAATCCAGTTGAGATGCTGTGGCATGACCTTAAAAAGGCGGTTCATGCTCGAAAACCCTCCAATGTGGCTGAATTACAACAATTCTGCAAAGATGAGTGGGCCAAAATTCCTCTACAGCGCTGTAAAAGACTCATTGCCAGTTATTGCAAACACTTGATTGCAGTTGTTGCTGCTAAGGGTGGCCCAACCAGTTATTAGGTTTAGGGGGCAATCACTTTTTCACACAGGGCCATGTAGGTTTGGATTTTTTTCCCCCTTAATAATAAAAACCTTCATTTAAAAACTGCATTTTGTGTTTACTTGTGTTATCTTTGTCTAATATTTAAATTAGTTTGATGATCTGAAACATTTAAGTGTGACAAACATGCAAAAAAATAAGAAATCAGGAAGGGGGCAAACACTTTTCACACAACTGTATATATTGTATCATGAACTTGTTATTACTCATGCATTAATATAAAAGAAGGGTTTTACGTCATATAGGGCTGCATAATGACTATTTTCGTTGTGTATTTATCTGCCGATTACTTTCTCCCTTAATCGATCGATTGTTTAATTGCAAAGATTCTGACAATGTCTATCATTGCTAGCACAAAGTGATGCTTGCACAATGTTTGTTTTGTCCAACCAAATAATTATTCAAAGGGATGAGCAGCAAATCCTCCCGTCTGAGAGGCAGGAACCATATCCTTTGGCATTTTTGCTTTATAAAGAAAAAAAGAAGGAACAATAGATGTATCAATGCCAATCAACTACTGGCATCTAGCAGTTTTGTTGCACTGTCGCTCACCTTGGAAATGTGTTGGAATAAGGAGAAATACTTGCAACACATGCTGCAATGATATGCACACATAGCAATGAGCATTAAAACGTGTGCTGATACGTACTCCGAGGACTGAACATGCGTTTTCACGCTTGGCTTTTTGCATTAAGTATTTTGCAAACCGAGCTGTCGGTGACAGTTGAAGGAGTTCGCCTCCTTGCCTCTGGTTTTAACAAGGATCTGCAAATCTGTTGAGCAGTCATAAACAAAGCAGGGCATTCCTTGGGCAGGCCCAAACGGAGGGAACGGAGGGTGGGGTGGCTTCCCCCGGGCCAGATGACAAGGTCGCTCCTCTGCCAAGGAAATCTAGTTAAATGATCAACTGTTAGGGAGTGGAGGAGATGTGTAGCTGCTTGCTGTCAGTGTTTGTGCTTTCAAAACCACATGTATGCACACTACCACCACAGTCAACATGGCAGCCAAAAAAGATTACTTATTTTAAATACTTAAATATGTTGTATACCATGTTTCACATCTTTATCATAGGCTAACTCTAATCCCTGTTAGTGTGTCATAGAGGATATGCATCATACCTCGTGTGTGTAATCAGGGCTAGCTCTTTGCCCCCCTTCTCCAGTCTGTGTGCTAAGCTAGTATGCTAAGCTAACAGCACTTAGCTTAGAATATTAGCTTCATATTTAAAGGACAGACACGAGAGGTATGGATCAAATCAATAAGAATGTAACGAGCCTGTGAAAAACAGTTGTGTCCTGTTTTTTGTGGCTCTGGTGGAAGCTTTTTAAAGTTCGAGAGAATAACCCTGATGACGTCATAGTGATGTCATCAGGGTCGCTTTAGCTCAGGCTTTAAAATCATAACAGAAGAGTGTGAAGAGATGTGGAGTTTAAAAGATGTGGATGTTGACCCCGGTAGGGAGCGACTAATGAAAAGATGTCATTGGTTGCATTATGGGAAACGTAGGATTAGGTGTTTAGGGAGTTTGACCTGTAATTGGGATTTAAAGTCAGAATTTGATTACGTCTGCTCCTTTGATTTTTTTTGTCTCTCACAGGTCCCCCAACTTTATTAGACTTTATAGGCAAAAACTAAATGTTTTTTTTTGACAAGCCTCCTGTGGGTTTCCTCTTGGGTAGAAGATAATCGAATAGTTTGATCTGAGATTTCTTTTTTTTAATGCAGGCACAACTTATCTTCATTGGTTTTGTAACACAACAGCTCTAGGGCTGCTTAATGCAACAGCACACAAAACATATAGATGTCAGATCAATGCTGTGCACCTTTAATTGACAGATCCAGTTAGTACTGCTGGGTCATGTACTCTCTCTCTGTGTGTGTGTGTGTTGTATGAGTTGGGGTGGAGGGGCGGGGCTTGTGTATCTCCGCTTTAGGACTTCACAATAAGTGCCCTTAGAAGGAGAGCCTGTCAGACTGTAAACTGGAGAGCTTTTCTTTTCTTTTTTTCGATTTGAGTGGCAGCAACTCTTAAATTCCTAAATGTCAAATGATCAAAACCAACTTTTCTGCTCAGTGACGAGTTAGGATGCAGGATAACATGTTCTCGGGTAAGTGTTATTTGAATTGTCCATACCTTCATTATAAGGCAGTATGGGCGCACTAACTGTAACTTTATGGATTCATGCATACCTCTTCTGGACTAACTTTTCCTGCTCTTCCGCGTGGGGTTTACGTAACCTGCAGCTTCAGTACGTGCGTTGATTGGGTTTGCGTCGGACAGCTCTATCCAGGCAAAAGATGTCCAACCAACAAACTAATCCGCGTGTTTTGTTATGCAGGATAATCTCCACAAGTCTTCCTAGTGCCTACTACAGAAGGAGGGAGGAGGAGGAGGAGGAGGAGGCGGGGGGGGGGGGGACGTGTCCCGGTGCGGAAGTGGGGGGGGGGGGGGGGGGGGGGGGGGGGGGGGGGGGGGCACGTGTCCCGGTGCAGAAGTGGCTGCCGTGAGAGGCGGCGGTGGCGGGGGAAGGTGAGCAGCGCAGTCCGCGGCGGGTGACAGGGGCATGGAGATGTTGCGCCGCTCTTCTGTGTTCGCGGCCGAAGTGTTTGACCGCTCGCCCACCGACAAGGAGCTGGTGTCCCAGGCCAAGGCGCTGTGCAGGGACTACATTTACTCCAGGCTCAACCGCGCCGGGATAGGCTGGTCGAAGCCTGACCACGGGCGGGCTGCATCAGGCGGGGCGCTGGGAGATATATCGTCGGTCCTGCTGTGGCTGGGTGAGTTTTTTTTGTTTTTGGAGCACGGTCCGCTTAACACTGTGTTGGACCAGTCAGTTGTATAGAGACTTATGGTCGACCTCAGAGTGCAGTGATATCTGCTGCATTCAAAAACAATACCCATTGAAATCATTCCGAAAACGGTATTTGAACCTTTGTTTTTTAAAAATAATAATACAAAAAAATGAATCAATTGAACATTAAACACCTTTAAGACTGAAACCTTTAACACTGAAACACCTTTAAGGGATTCCCAGGAAAATAATATATTCACAGTTTCCTTTAGCTAATGTTTGGATGTTTGCCCAGTATGAAAACCGATACAGTTCTGAGGTTTCACTTTACCATTTGTGGTTATCACACCACCGCCAGTTTAGTTGTGCAATTCACTGGAAACTCAGATCGAACAGATTCATGAGGATGCCGACAATTTGAAGATTCCTTTATTAAAAGGAAACAACAGAGGGGATGTTTCATGTTTGTGAACACTTTCCAGCAGAGAGAGTACAACAAAAACTGTGATGCAAACAGAGTACGGCAAGAATCTACTGAAGAGATTAGATTACAGACTGTTGGACTTTGTTAATTTAAATACTGGATATGAAGTCATTCCAGGTTGAAAGAAATAGTTTGACTCATCTAAGTCTCTGCTGAGACTTAGATGAGTAGATGGATACCACTCTGGTGTTTGTACAGAAAAATGTAGCTTAGCATAGCACAAAGACAAACATCAGGGGCTTAATGGTTTTGGTGAGATTCATAATTGACTCGTGGCTAAGCCCCGCCCACCTGCTGCTCCTCCATCAAGCTGTCAGAGCTATGTTACCATGGAGCCCACACTGTCACTAACTGCATTCCCTGAAGAAATATTATAGAATTTTTGGAAAAATGAAAAAAGCGATTTTCCGAGAGAATCAGACAGAAGGGGGTTTGGAGTATAAATCCATGTTGTTAAACGAATTCAGCAGTGAAAACGGGTCAAAAAGATAAAGATATAAGTTAAAGCCTACAGTGTAAAAGTGAACCACCATATCACCTGGAGATGGAGACAGAATACAATGAAGTTAGAAACAACACTATAAAGCAGGGTCAAGTTCTTTATTTACTGTTACAATTAAAAAGCAAAAGTAGCATGTTTATACATTCAGTAGCTAAGAAGGGCTAACGCTAGTTAACGATGTGCTACTATACTTTGCTGACGTTAGCTCCACAGGTTTTTACGTAGAAACGTAATGTTTTAGAAACTCACATCTCCTTCCAACCTCTCCGGATAACGAGTATCACTATTACGCAACGTTTAACCAGGACTAGCTCCAAATCCACAACACCTGCCTGAAAATTGAAGAAAAACCTGAAACGATTGCACAAGACCAGAGCCGGATAGTTGTCGGAGCTGGTTGACGCTACGCTATGATTGGCCAGTCTGCATTCGAGGGGCGGGACTTAGCAAAGGGTCATTTAGAAGAACGCACTTTTAAATTTAAAGCGAGAATATGTAGCTTTTGCCAGAATATGACCATTGTGGCTACAAATGCTGAGCTACTGTTTCAGCTATTGTTACAATAGCACAAGTGGAGAACAGTTAAGCCAGTTGTTTGAGTCAGTTTTGTCTGTTGTACAGCAATGTTCACCTAAAGCTAACATTAGCTACCATAAGCTACTGGTCTTAAAGTTTTTTTTGTGCTGCAAATGAAGTCAACTATTGATTTGTTAGAGGAAGTTATTGCTTCTTTCAAGTCTTGCTTTAGTTGTGTGGATAGCCCAAATGCAGTTAAAGTCAGAGGCACTACAGTCGATAAAATATGTTCTCGCTGAGTTTAGTCTCCTGTGTTTTGGCCAGGTGATGAGTTGGAGTACCTTCGACCCAATGTGTACCGCAACGTAGCGCGACAGCTCAACATCACGGTGGCTTCAGAGAGTATTGTGTCGGACGCCTTCCTGGCTGTGGCTGCAGACATTTTCTCCACAGGTAGGTCCACATCAGTATCTGGTTGTATTGTAAATCAAGCCAATGCTTGCAGGCCTGCATGATGGGTACTAACTGTAGCGCTTTTGTTATCAGGTACGCAAACTTCAACACAAAGGAAGATTACGGATCGTTTTTGCTGTTTTAGGGAAGTTCTTCTTTTTGTTGAAACCCAGAAGGAGGAACATGGCTTGCGACAAATACAATAAAGATATTTAAATGTCTGGAGAGCTATGTTACTGCTCCTATTAATGCTTTACTATTGAATTACTAGAGCGAGCCATAATTTCCTCCCCCTCAAACATCAACTAATTCCAGCCAACTTTTTCATGTAAACACCTTCTTTTTGCAGGGTGAGTGCGGAATTCTCCAGTTAGTCCGAAACATTTTGTTGCAGTCATTATCCCCTTACAGGAAGGGAACCGCAGGGAAAACATTCAGTCCATATTAGGTTAACATGTTGCCAGAGCGAGTGATTGTTACAGACAGTTTGGACCCCACCCACGGAGTTCAGTCATCAGCCTCGGCTGATTTGTACCTTCGGGGCTGTAACAAAGCAATCTGCTGCAAAAGTAATTAGGAATCAACTGCACATGGAAGAAAATCAGGTTTGTGTGGTCCTTGAAAGTGCAAAGTTACTTAGAAATATCACTGACTACTTCAGACCTATCATTACGAAAGAATATCTACCTAAATCGAAACATGTTCTGGGATGTACATGGGCAGACATACATTGCGGTTAGGCTCTAGTTTCAGTATACAGGATGACAAAGTAGCCCTCAATGACTACAAATGTAAATTTGGACATACTGTGTAAAGCTGACAGTCTAGCCGTGTCTCTGTGAGGAGGAAGTCATGGGCAGCTGTAGATAATGACCACAAACTCTTCTGATGCTTTTGAGCTCAGTCACAAACATCATGCTGCCTTACACAAGGCACAGATAAACTACAGCCGAAACACATTCCCACACCGAGCATGTTACACCGGTATCCGCTTTTAAAACTTTCTAATTTAAACCCACAGTGAATTCTTTCCCAACCGCAAGTTCCCCTTATGAATACGGAGCTTTTAGTGTCTTTGAGCTCACAGTTTTGAATTTTGTGGCCCTCAACTTTACTGTTCCGGTTCAGTCTCATCACTTTCACTTGTTTCTGGTAGCTGTTTTCAGTGGAAAGGGAAGGGACCATGAGACCCGTCACTGCCGAAGCTCGCAGTTTGGCTCATTTTCTTAAACTACTATAGCAAGCTCGCTAACTAGCCAGCTGTCCGCTAGTGAGCTAGCTAGCTTGTTAATTCCGCAATGCTTAAATGCCAGACTTTTTTACAGAAAACAACAAAGTTGTTACTCATCTGGCAATAGCAATGTGCTTTTCCGACACTGTGGCAAGAGTGTGTGTGTGACTTCTCAGATGTTATTTATTTTTTTAATTACTCATTTTAAAAGGTAAACCTTTACTTAGAATTGATGAACTCACCATAAATTGGACAGCAGCATTGCAAGTGCACACAGTGGAGAGTGTCACTCTGCAAATTCCAGGTCTCACAGTTAAAGAGAAACATGACCTCCGTTTACCAGATCCTAGGAATGAATCGGATGACAGATACAGAAGATGGATGGAGTTGGGGGCTCATTTTGTATCCGTTAGACATGTAAACACTGCAAAAAGAGTCTGAGGCTTTGACTGTAAATGGTGCTGCGGCAGAAACTCAACAAGTGAACCAAGAAAAATTATCTGCTCACTAATATAGCAAGGCGAACTGCCTGCCTGGCGCCCGAGCCTTCTGTTTGGGTTTTCTTCTCTGTGGGACAGACAAGCATGTAAGCCTCTTGCCTGGCTGCTGTTGACGTTTTAGAGTTTGTTCATCCATCTTTGAATAAGAGCTGCTGACAGAATTTTGCTGCACTAAAAACTCCTCAAAAATAGGCACTCCACTTTGATTTGAGAACCCTCAAATCAACAAATAATAATTTGTTTGCAAAATATGCGTTCATATATCACATAGCAGGACGTAAATGGCTCTGTGCATGAAGCTTTGAGTGAGGATGCAGTGTAGTTTGTTCTAACAGTGTATTTCCTGTCAGGTGTGACATGGGGGAAGGTGGTGTCTTTGTACGCTGTGGCAGGAGCCCTGGCAGTGGACTGTGTTCGCCACGGCCACCCGGCTATGGTCCATACCATTGTTGACTGCATGGGGGAGTTTGTCCGCAAGAGCCTGATCTCCTGGTTAAAAAGGAGAGGGGGCTGGGTAAGGGCAAGTTCTTTTTTTTACCTGATCGCTTGTTTGTGTAAGTGTTGCCGATGAAATAACTCTAAGACCTTTACTTTCACAGTGGTAAACTGAAGGTGTGTGTGTGGGTGTGTTTTCTCCTGTTTCTGCCATGCTGGATGTGGCAAAGTATGTCAAGCTAACTACAAAAAAATAGTCCCAGTGTCAATATTATGGAAATATTTTATTGGGCATGGAGTTGTTAAAGTAAGTAAACAAGTGCTTCAATCTGTTTTTCTTCATATTTCTGTGTTGGTGGGTGTGATATGAATATTAGGGCTGCAATCCTCTGATTGTTTTCTTGATTATTCCATTTGTGGTTAGGTCTATAAAATATCAGAAGAACGTGAAAAATAAACATATTTTTCCAGAGCCCAAGGTGGCAGCTTCAAATTGTCGGCATCCTCAGGGTCTGAAAAGTGAAGCTGAAGTGCCTTAAACTTAAACATCCTTAATGTCCAGCAGGGGGCGACTCCTCTGGTTGCAAAAAGAAGTCTGATTGTATAGAAGTCTGAGAAAATGACTCTACTTCTCACTTGATTTATTACCTCAGTAAACATTGTAAACATGATTTTATGGTCTCAATATAGTCTTCAATATAGCATGATGTTCTTTTAGTAAATTAAGCAGGGTATGCTTTAGGGCGGGGCTTACTGTGATTGACTGTCCGGTCTGGGAGTTGTCCATGTATTCGTCTTGCAGCTTTAACCCTTTCACTGTGTTTTCACTTCATGAAAGTTAATTGTAACATTTTAGTTGCCTAACAATGTCTTATTCAGCATTCCGTTGTACTTAGCTCCACCCTCTTGTGTTACTTCTGGTTACAAAAAACCAAGATGGCAACAGCCATGCCGAGCTTGAGGCTTCTAAACGGCAGTCCACAAACCAATGGGTGACGTCACGGTGACTTTGTACACTTCTTATATACAGTCTATGGTCCCAAATTTCTTAAAGATATGAAGCAAAGAAAAGCAGCAAATCTTCACATTTGAGAAGCTAGATTAGAACTATGTAATGTTTGACTTTTTTGATAAATTTATTATCAAAATATTCTGTCAATCGACTAATTGATAAATCAACTGATCCTTTTAGCTCTAATGAATATTGAGCACACTATCCCCCGGTTATCTGGAGATTATCTGCATATGACGTACAGATACACCAGCGAGAGAAAAATATAAACTTGCTGTTAAGTAGCTACAAGAGAAAATATATTACCATATGATACAAGATGAATGTGGATAAAGTCATGAGGTGCGAATGCAATACAGTTTAAAGATGAATATCATCATATTGTATTATACTGGGGCGGGATTAATAGTCAAAGAAAGGTTGAAGGCTGTATGATAACAGGGTTAAAACACCGTGTATTGACAATATAACACCTACATCCACCCCACATCTTCAGACAGAATAGTAGAAGTCTATTCTGCAGAATCCTATCAATAAGAAAAGCCTTTATGATAAAATCCTACAGAGACAACAAAGCGCACCAGAAGGAACAAGGCCTGGCAACGGGCCTCTGCGCTGCTGGAAAGAGCAAAACAAGTGAACAAATGCGCCCATGCAATCAGAGACATGGCACCCAAGTCGGTTTTGTTTTCAGGGCAAGTGGAGTGTGACCAAATAAAGAGCAATGCATTGTATAACTGACCTCATGAGCACAAATGAGGGACCTGTCCCGGTCTAAACTCAAACTGTAATATTTCCACACTGGGAGATAATCAGCGTGTGGGAAAAACTCCATAACAATCTGTGATGTGACGGATCTGAGGAGGGAGAAGTGTTTAGTGTCAGGACTGACACTTAAACTGTGCTCTCTGTGAAATCTCATTGTCTACGAAAGTGATCTAGTTATATAAGTAGACTTTTCGAGTAAGCATTGCAGAGATTGCAGTGTGGGCTTTTGCATTGAAAGAAACACATGTTGGGAATTATTGGGTTTTTTTCTTATTTTTTCTCTTTGTTTCATTCCACAGTCTGAATTCATTTGGTGAGCTCTGTGTCCTCTCTACCGTTACAGGTGGATGTAACGAAATGCGTGGTGAACACCGATCCCAGCTGCCGCTCTCACTGGCTGGTGTCCGCCGTCTGTGCCTTCGGACACTACCTGAAGGCCACTGTGTTGTACCTCCTCAGAGACACGTGAAAGACAAAGTCACGCACTGGGTTTTTTTTTTGTAGCGGACTGACCGACACTATACTCCGCCACCACCACCAGCACTCCACTAAAGCTTCCACTGCTTTGGATTATGTTTACACTCGTTTGCACTGAGCCTTCGTGGACGATGAACGCCTGTCCATTCACAGAAAAAGGACTTTCCGTGCTTCCTCTGCAAGATTGTCTATTTATTGTTAATAGTAAGGTTATGGCACACTTTTGACGCGAATGTATAGAATCACCCACTCTTAATGTTTTTAGCTTATAATTTGTTCCACAATCAGCAGAACTTCTCATTTGTTTCGCTTCCTGTTTGGCAGAGGCTTGGCTGCCCCTAGTGGTTGAAAACTAACTACTGTACTTGGTTGTACAAAAATCTATAGCAATATATATGCAAAATACAACATGTTTTTCTCCAATTAAGGGACTGTACGGAAATTATTAATTGATATTATTTCAAAAGATGATTTGGGGAAGAGTATGGGAGGATGTTTGCTTTTCCTCTCCCTCAAGATTTATATTGTGTTTCAGCCCTCCCTTGCCAGAATAATTTAAAAAGGGACCAAATAGTTACGATTGACTGTGTGGATATTGGTGAGTAAATGTTGTCTCTACCAACATTTGTTCTTTCATGTTATTCTGCATCACAACACAAAGGTAGAACAAATGAAATGTGTCATAAAGCCTGTAATATAAATCAAGTTCATATTCACTCATTGCCAACTTGTTCTAATAATTTAGCAAAGTAAAAGGAAACGTTTTGACCGGGGTTCCACTAACTTATACATGTTTAAATTGGGGAACACCATCTTAAATTATTATTTCTGCTTTTCCTCCATACTCTCGTAATATTTTTAGATAATAAGAGTAGTGTTACATTTTTCTATTCAAGCAAATATATATATTCGGAAAGAATGTGTATAAACTAAGATTCAGACCCCTTCCCCACCCTAATAATGTCTGTACAGTCCCTAATGAGTGATGAATTGAGCCTATGATAACTACATATGTGTATTTCAGACAGCACTATACACTTAATGCAACTTTTTCTCCTTCCTCATTGTTCCCTGTGAGGCAGTGTATGCCATTGCTGTACTGTAATTGCAGTAACGCAAGTTACAGTACATGTTCATTAAGCTAGAGCACTTTGATAACATTTCATTTTGTGAGCATAATTTATTCCATGAATAATTTCACTTTTATACGGCACCGGCACGTAGTACTATGAGTCCTAGAAAATATACACGTTTGTGAGTCATCTGCAATTGTAAATATGAACAATAATACAATGGTTCTAACGGCAATTTGTCAAGTCAGCAGCAGTAAATAATGATACATTTTTATAAACAGATTGTGCTTTGAAGCTGTTTTCCCAGAAGGTAAGTGGTCTTTCAGATGAAATAAAGGGCTTACTAAGCTTCAATTAAAGGCACCTTGTGAGCAAGTGGTGCTGAACTGATTGCTTGGTGTGTTACATCAACCAAATGTAAAAAGTTAGTTTTCTAGCTGTCTGTAGTCTCAAACAATGAAAATGAATAAGTCCTTTTCAAACATTTATGACGGAAAAGAAGTAAACCTTTTTGGACGTCTGGTAAATGTTTTTTTTTTTTGTGTGCAAGTGGTAGATATGTAAATGTTTTAATTGCAGTATAAGCCTTTTGCTTAAAATTGTAGTCTGCTTTTCTCTGCGTGTGTTTGTCTCTCAGCTAGATCTTGGTGTGAATGATTGTATTTACAGACTGCAAAGAATAAGAGATGCCAGAAACATTGATGGTTATTTGTGACCACCTAGTGGTTGAATCAGAATCACTAGACACAGATTGGCCAACAGATTTATCTGTAAATGGCATGATGAAATGTCAATTAAACAATTGTATTAATTGAATTAAAGACGGAGTCTCCAACCACATGGAAACATTTTCCACCTAATTTTCCAACTAAATGACTTAATGTATGCATTTGTTTGCTGCATCTCACACCTTCCACTGATCATACTGTGTGTAATCTTAGTTCAAGTACTTGTTTTTCCCTTTTAGCAATACTGTATATCTACGTACGAAATTGAATGGTCACTGTAAACATCTAAACAATAAGTATTAATCTTGAGTGTTTTTTTTCTTGACAAAAGATGAGTTTTCACTTCCTTCTCAGAAATGCCCTGAGCTTTCTGTCAACTGAAGTCATCTAATTTGCAGTGGTTCCTCCTCTCAAAGGTTTTCAGTAGCGTATATTCCGTATACTCTCCCAATTCTGGAGCTTTAAAAGATTACATAATTTTTTACAGTCGTGTAGAAGAAGGCTTTGGTTAACTGTCTAGCTTAAGGCTCTAGTAATTTGTTGAAAGGGGGGGGAAAAAATGTAACTTCTCTTATGGTCAGAGAAGGGAGCCTCACGGATATCAAGCCTCCTTAACTCTGTAACATGAACGCACCATAAATTGTTTTCAACGGGACGGCTACGTCAGCCACTACTGATTGGTTTGGGTGACGTGACCCCACTCCCTTCTCTTATTGGATGTCGTAATAAATGTCCCGCCTCTCGCCGAATTCCACAGCAGGGCTCTATACCCATTGGTCCGCCGGGTCGGAGTCCAGAGAACAACAAACAAGATAGGGTGAAGACCGTCGGGATGGATGCAGGTAAACGAGATTTTTATAGTAAAATAACGTTTCTTTCTCTCCTTTACCCTGCCAGTATTGCCACAAACTAATCACAACAACACCACATCATACTTGGCAACACATTTCCTGCTTTGTCATGACAGGATTACCAACTCCAACACAGACCCTATTGCTGTGTAGCCTCGGTGGTGTTAGCCTGATAAAATGATGACTAAAGCTAAAGCTAACCAGCATTAGCCTGCTGTTATTGCTAAATGTGGTGGATTCCCCGCTTTGACAGCTCGCTGCACTGCCGTGAAACGTCTTGTTGTTGCTTCACATGTCATCGTTGTTAGTGACATGTGTTGTTAAGTTTCACTGTTCATAATTTGCCTTCAGTCCTCGGTTTGACTGTTTATGCTAACGCTGTGTTACGCCCTATGAGTCGATGCACTGTCACTCACCATCACATCAGTTATAGGCTAACGTTGCTATAAGCTAGGAGGTTAAGTTATCATATGCAGCAACACGCATGTAGTTTAATAATAACTCAATACTCTTCAGGGAATGCGAGCCCACTTCTTACTCCATTCCCGTCTCCTTCGACTGCAAATACACGAGCCTGTAAATCTCTGCTTTATGTGTCCAGGCTAACTCACTGCTAGCTAGTCAACTTTTCCTGTCTGTTGTTAGTTATGTGGATAGTGACGTGTCAGCAATAAACCGCAGAAGTCCTTTTTTAACCTTCCATCAAAAGCGTAAATGCATATTTCAGTGAATAGCTGCGGGCACCAGTTGGCCAAACTCGGATGTTTCTCTGAAGTGGAAGTGAACCCTTTAATGGTGTCATTACTGTTTTGCCCAATTTTATATTTGGCTTTGATCCCAGTATTTCCGGCTCTGCCAATACAGACTTTTACTGTGATTGCTTTTTGACACTACACTTTATTAAAAGCACCTACTTCCTCATTTACTTACTTATTTATTGCCAGATAATTGCACAAGGGAGATGCATGTTTAGATATTGATATGTGTGATATAGTTGCTTGATTTTTTTTTTTTTCCAGTGTGTCATGTATGTTGTAATTTATATATCCTCTAAAATAGTTATGTCGTCAAAGTTATCCCGGCCTGTGCTTGAAGACTCCAGCTTCGTAACTGAACGCCAGAATAATAATAATTGTGAAGTTTTCAATATTTGAGCCTTTACCAAGCAGGGAGGGTCAAGGTACAACAAATATCAATATCCAGCTGCATTATGGGAAGTGTATAAATGAGCATTTTCTTTTTTAGCTTTTACCAATACCAGGGACTAAAAGTCAGGATATCTTTGCATCTGCTGCAACAAATATGACCATTCGGGTTTTTTAAGTACCTTTAAAAACCTCCCTTCTAATTGATGAACAATACCACGTTTCTTAAATACAATTTAAGTTGTAAATGTGTTTATTTCACCATGAAATACATTTTTAATTTTTTTAATCACATAGGGAGATTCCTCCCTCGCCTACTCTCCTAGCATATAAATTGAGACCCCGGTTAGTCTACAGAAATAAAGAAAGATGGATGTAAATAGAACAACCTTCCTGGAAGTAACTGGGATTTTTCTCAAGGAACTTAATGAATAGGTGCCCCACCGTTTCTTCCTCTGATTGTTGGAATGCTGCTTCATTCTTAACATTCCTTCGCAGCAACCTTGACATACGACACACTTCGCTTTGGAGAGTTTGAAGATTTTCCCGAGACCTCGGAGCCTGTGTGGATCTTGGGGAAAGAATACAATGCACTCACAGGTAGGACTGTGGAATATAACGTGTGTGTGAGACGGAGAGAAATGAGTACTTTAACTTTAAAGAATCATCTTAGCAGACGTGCACTTTTCCCTGAGGTTGTCTTGTAATATGGTGATTTCTGGTCTTCATGTAGAGAAAGATGAGATTTTATCAGACGTCACTTCACGACTGTGGTTCACATACAGAAAAAACTTCCCACCCATTGGTAAGTGAAGACATGTGTGTTTTAGTTGAGCCCCTAACCTTTACTTTTGATGTTAAAGGGATCTCGTGCATGATTCTTGAATGTGTTACAGGTGGGACAGGACCAACGTCGGATACAGGATGGGGATGCATGTTACGGTGCGGCCAGATGATCTTAGGCGAGGCCTTGGTGTGTAGACATGTAGGCAGAGGTAAGACATCTTTAAAGAAACCAAAGAAAAAGGTTTCATCTATACACATAGATGAAATCCGTTTTTTATCACCGTGTGGCACTAGCAGCTCTTCTCCAGTGAGAAGACTACAGGCTTGATAACTGGCTTGTTGTTCTCAGACTGGAGATGGGCCAGAGGCCAGAAACAAAGAGAAGAGTACATCAGTATTCTCAACGCCTTCATCGACAAGAAAGACAGCTATTATTCCATCCATCAAATTGGTGAGTAGCGAGTGTCAGTCCGCTCCAATTTGATCAGGGACTCACTCAGGCAGTAAAGAGTTTGCGTCACATTGTTGTTGTTGTTGTTCCTAAACGCTGCAGCCCAAATGGGAGTTGGAGAGGGAAAGCCTATCGGCCAGTGGTATGGACCGAACACAGTGGCCCAGGTTCTAAAGTAAGTACTGTAGAGCAGGGGTCTTCAATGTTTTTCAGGCCAAGGACCCCCAAACTGATGGAGAGATGGAGCAGGGACCCCCGACTATATCTATATCTATATCTATATCTATATCTATATATATATATATATATATATATATATATATATATATATATATATATATATATATATATTGTATAACATTGTGTTTTATATTAAATGGGCCTGTTACCATGTATAAACATACCTCTTTATTGTGCATTCATTACTAAGCTATTCAAATAATACACAGGTTCATATATTCATGTTTTTATGTTAAACATGTGCAAGGTACAGTGAGTAGGGTGGCCGTACTACTGCCATTTATAAACATACCTTGTCAGCTGATACCAATGCCAATATCGACATTGTCTGTCAATTGCATGATAATCATGCATACAAGCTATTCAAATTGATGTTTTCATTTTAAACGTGGAAATGAAAAATTAGTGATGGCCTATTAGTACCACTGCCATGCATAAAGATACCTGTTATCTTTCATACAATACTGAACTATTAAAATAATGGACACATTCATGTTTAGAGAAACATTTTTTATTTTCTAATGAACCAAAAATTTCGTGGACCCCCTGCAGTACCTCTGTTGAAGACCTCTGCTGTAGAGGAACTACACGTTACTAAGCTGCTCAATTTCAGTTGTTTCCAGATTTGATCAGAGCCCACAGGAACGTCTTTAAATTGCCAAGTTAAAGTCTAAAACCATATATATTTATCTTACATGGATATACATGTGATAAAAATAGCTAGAGCCGCTGGGTAATTTGCTTCAGAGTTCCAGGGTTAAAGGTGCTGCATAGAACGAACAGAAGTTATGTTTACATTCAGGGTTTCTGCTCCATAGCGCCACTCGTGGTAAAAAAACTGCACAGGGTGTCTTTAATCAGTGATCAAAAGTCGACTAATCACTTCAGCATTACCTTACGTCACGTTAGGTCTTTGGTTTTATTTTTTAAATAAAAATATCGCAACTGCTGTCCTAACTGGAAAAGCAAAATCGGTGTGAGCAGCAAAGTTTCTTTGAATCTAAAACAGCCACTTTGTTTCCAAGACATTCAGGAGAGGCAGAACAGTACGTTGACATTATCACACGAGCAAAACTTCTGTTCCACTCCCACCATCTATGTACAGTATGTACGTATCCCGATGTCCAACGATTAACAAAAAAGATGATGCGCTGTTCACCGAGGAGGTTCAAAACTATTTAAAGAAAGAACATCTTTCCGATCAGGTAGAGCACAAAAGTGTCTGTGTGCCGTCTTGCTTTCAGGAAGCTGGCGGTGTTTGATACGTGGAGCAGACTGGTCGTACACGTGGCGATGGACAACACAGTGGTCATCGAGGAGATCAGTGAGTGCGCTCTGAACGGGTCTCCGGGTTGAACTGTGGGCTGTGCTGGGGTTTGCAGAAGTAGTACTTCAGCTAAACATTGCATTTTACAAGATAAAGTTTATGGGTGAAAACAAATACAAATGTGAGTCGGAGTGAAGGAAACAAGTTCATCCATCAACAGTATTTTGGTGATTTTCCCATGTGCAAATATACAAAGCGGAGAGGTTTTTAAAAAAAAAAAAAAAAGGGCTTTAATCCTTTTCTGCCTTGAGGCTACCACCTTACCTTTTGTTTTTCCTGCAGCATAGATAAAAGAAATTATGAAAGTAATTTAGTGATCTTTTCCCCCCCCCGCTACAGAGCGCCTCTGCATGCCCTGGCTGGACGCTGCATGTTGCGAACCGGAGGGAGCGGGGGAGCTCAACGGCTGCCTGGGGGGGGCGTGTGCGCTGGCGGAGGAGGAGACGGCTCTCTGGAAACCTCTGGTCCTGCTCATCCCTCTCAGGCTGGGCCTGAGCGACATCAACGAGGCCTACATCGAAACCCTCAAGGTGAAGCACCTCCGGGGGCGTTCACTGCGTTAAAACGAAGACTTTCTCGATCTTAGAAGTTTATCGAAAAACAGGGGGGTTGTCACTGAAAACCTAACAAAATGAGACATCTGAATTTCCTGCTTGATATTTTGATTAGTCTGATATCTACAGACATGTTATGTGTTATCATTAGTTGTCAGTTACAATACTCTTGCTTCAAATTAGTCCTTTCTGTCAACTGCAGTCTCTCAATAGTAAGGTTACTTTAATGAAAATACATGAGATGTTCACTGTGATTAAGGGTCCCTGCATGCTTCCTTGCAGCCTCTGCGGTTGGCATGTGAATATGCAAGTAAGCTTTTATCCAGGGTATTGCTTTATCAGCCTCTCGTGTATGGGGAAAGGAGCTTCAAGATACACGCTGGTTTAGTGGAGGTTATGCTGTGAGCATGTGTGTAGCCTTCATTTCAAAACAAAGACACTGTAGTGACAAAATGACCCTTTTTTTTTTTTTTTTTTTTTTTTTTGTGTGTGTGGGGGGCTTTCTGATGTGCTTGCTGTAGATTTACCCACATCAAAACAACACGCTTAAGAAAATGGTCGCAATGTCATTTCTATGTTGTTTGCACTGAATGGGCTAGAAGATGAGCATGGAGGCAAAGCCAGCTACAGCTGGGGTGAGATAAACCCTCTCGTCTCTTTTCACAGCAATGCTTCATGCTGCCTCAGTCCCTGGGTGTTATTGGGGGAAAACCCAACAGTGCCCATTACTTCATTGGTTATGTCGGTATGTCTGGTCTCTGTGTTCGTGAAATAAACACTCAGCTGTGCACCGCACACTCACCATATTAATTTGACTCACACCAAGACAATCAATCTGATTATGAATCTTTTTTTTTCTCCTCTCTTCCCAGGAGAAGAACTCATCTATTTAGACCCGCACACCACACAGCCTGCGGTGGATCCATGCGAAGACAGCCAGGTCCCAGACGAGACGTACCACTGTCAGCACCCGCCCTGCCGCATGCATATCTGCGAGCTGGACCCATCCATCGCAGCGGTAGGAATGCTAGGGAGGCTTTTTTTTTTTTTTTTTTTAAATGGCACAAGGCTTTTGTATCTCAAACTAAAGCCCATTGTTACATATTTATTCTTTATAACAGTAGCTCAGTGGTTTGTAGCTTATTGTCTTCTGGTGTCCGCCAGGGTTTCTTCTGCAGAACAGAGGACGAGTTTGACGACTGGTGTATGCGCATAAGAAGGGTACGGTTCCGTTAACACTGCTCTCTTGTTGCGCTTGAATACGTCACTGTTGGAGGAAACGTGTGCGTCATAATGTGGTGCTCCTTCTCTTCTAGCTGTCCTGCAACAGAGGGGGGCTGCCTATGTTTGAGCTAGTGGACAGTCAGCCCTGTCACATGGTCAGCATAGATGCCCTCAACCTTACTCCTGGTAAAGTAACTGCTTTTTTTGTTGTTGCTAAGATTAGAAAAAGGAAATGGATTTTAATGTTTTTTTTTTTTTTCCTGACTTCCTAGATTTCTCAGACCCTGACAGGTTGGAGCGGTTCTTTGACTCAGAAGACGAGGAGTTCGAGATCCTTTCCCTCTGAGGAACACACAAACAATGATTTGCTATTGTGGACAGTCGGCACGAGAGATTCTCTGTATCAGAATGGGAAGCCTGCAGGGGGGCGAACATTAACCGAGACCTCTTGAGCCAGTCCAGCTCCAGCGGTGTAGTCTGTGTGTGTGTGTGTGTGTGTGTGTGTGTGTGTGTGTGTGTGTGTGTGTGTGTGTGTGTGTGTGTGTGTGTGTGTGAGTGTGAGTGAGTGAGTGAGTGTGAGTGAGTGAGTGAGTGAGTGAGTGTGAGAGTGTGTGTGAGTGTGAGAGTGTGTGTGAGAGAGAGAGAGAGAGACACACACAGTGCTCTTCTCAACAGCCTCTTGACTGCTCTTTGTATCCAAACATCGAGACCGCAGGAGCCGTAGCAGGAGCTCAGGATAAATTCTGTCTGCACATCGTCACATCACGCGAGTTTCCATTCAAGTCTTAACACTTTAAATGTTTATTCTGAAGTGATATGGTGCCTTTCCCTGACTCCAGAAGTTAAATTGCCATAACAGTTTTATGTTGTATAGAAACCCCAATGGCTTAAACGCGGTTTGTCACCAACAATTCCAGTCTGGAACGGCCTGCAATGAAACCAAATCAAGGCAAATCTGCAGACAAGTTGCATCAATTGTTCATGCAAAGTATCCTTGCCAAGTTAAAAAAAAAAAAAAAAAAAAAACATATGCGCTAGTTCATTTGAAGATTATTTATTTAATCAACACAACATAGACGGGTGAATGAACAATACACATGTAAGAGGATTAACAACGAATAAAGTCAGAGTCTGGTATATGACAGTGTTACGTCTCTCTTCAATTTCAAGACGGAATATAATTATATTGGCAGTTCTCCTCTGCTTTTAAATAAAGGGGGTTGAATATAGTTTGGTTTAAAGACGAGCAGTTTCAGGTTCACTTCCACAGCTCTCCGAGTGGCCGGTTCTGAGCTGCGTTCACAGTGTTAAGGCTGTGGGTGATTATGTTCTCGTGCACATCCTCAACACTCTGAGAAGCGTCGATCACCTGCAGCAGACAAGTTAGATCACAAGACGTTTATTGCTACTGATTTGAAATGGACGCCTGAGATTAAATGAGCATTCCGCACCGGCCTCATACCTGCCAGTTGACGGAGGTATCCTTCTTCAGCTGTTCGAACTTCTGTTGAACTGCTCTTTGGAAAACACTGGTCTCGTACCTCTCCTCTCCGAACTGACCCCTGAGAGCAGCCTCGGCCGGACTGAGCTGCAGGAACATAACCAGGTCCGGCTTTGGCAGCCCCACATCGGGTTTCATGCACCAGTCCAGACAGAAGCCCTGAAGGAGGAGATGAACACGTTCAAGCCATCTGTTGCTCCTCTCGAACACACACAAATCATGCTGTCTGATGGGTGCAGAGTTTGGCTGAGAGACAACTCACCGGCTTTGCACTTGTGAAAGCAACTCCAGAGAAGGCGTACCGATCCACGACCAGGGTGATGCCTTGCGCCAGCTTCTTCTTCATTAGAGGCCTGCAGTCACAAGTGTTTTAGTTACGCTGCACGTAGACTATAATGCTTACGGGCTAGAGGACACTTATCAAAGCGAATGACAAAAGAATCTGCATCATTGCTAATATATGCAACTTCTGAGATGGAAGGAGAAAGCACATTTACTCAGAGTTCTGTGCCTTTTTTCTTTTTTTAAGAAGGAAAAGACAGAAATTAATAATGTTGGTCAATCTCTCTACTCTGTCTGTGGCTTGAAGCCCCAAGCCCATTAGCTCCCACAAAGAGTCACAACTATATAGTTTCATTTTTCAGATATGCTAAACTATTTCCTCATATAGTTGGGTGCTGTAGATTTCGGTGAAGGTTAAAAGGCTCGGGTAAATATTGCTTTTGCTGGGGACTTTTTTTTTGTTGCCAGGAATCAAAAAAAACACATTTGGCACCGTGGTGAGTATTTAGGGCACCAGGATGGTGAGCTAGGAATTGACTCTTAAGTAAACTGCAGGGTCATGGTAATAAAGGTACAAGTCGTCCAGTGCAACAGGGTGGCTCATTGTGGGTTTTGGAATGTAAACATAAGATGGATCAGGCTGACAGTACTTGTTAGTAGAAGGTTCAATTTGATGTTTTTTTGGTCTTTTCATGTAATGTCTGGACTCTAGACAATTACAAAAATATACACTGCTCAAAAAAATAAAGGGAACACTTAAGCAACACATCCTAGATCTGAATGAATGAAATAGTCTTATTAAATACTTTGTTCTTTACATAGTTGAATGTGCTGACAACAAAATCACACAAAAATTATCAATGAAAATGAAATTTATTAACCCATGGAGGTCTGGATTTGGAGTCACACTCAAAATTGAAGTGGAAAAACACACTACAGGCTGATCCAACTTTGATGTAATGTCCTTAAAACAAGTCCAAATGAGGCTCAGTAGTGTGTGTGGCCTCCACGTGCCTGTATGACCTCCCTACAACACCTGGGCATGCTCCTGATGAGGTGGCGGATGGTCTCCTGAGGGATCTCCTCCCAGACCTGGACTAAAGCATCCGCCAACTCCTGGACAGTCTGTGGTGCAACGTGGCGTTGGTGGATGGAGCGAGACATGATGTCCCAGATGTGCTCAATTGGATTCAGGTCTGGGGAACGGGCAGGCCAGTCCATAACATCAATGCCTTCGTCTTGCAGGAACTGCTGACACACTCCAGCCACATGAGGTCTAGCATTGTCTTGCATTAGGAGGAACCCAGGGCCAACCGCACCGGCATATGGTCTCACAAGGGGTCTGAGGATCTCATCTCGGTACCTAATGGCAGTCAGGCTACCTCTGGCGAGCACACGGAGGGATGTGCGGCCCTCCAAAGAAATGCCACCCCACACCATTACTGACCCATCGCCAAACCGGTCATGCTGGAGGATGTTGCAGGCAGCAGAACGTTCTCCACGGCGTCTCCGGACTCTGTCACGTCTGTCACGTGCTCAGTGTGAACCTGCTTTCATCTGTGAAGAGCACAGGGCACCAGTGGCGAAGTTGCCAATCTTGGTGTTCTCTGGCAAATGCCAAACATCCTGCCCGGTGTTGGGCTGTAAGCACAACCCCCACCTGTGGACGTCGGGCCCTCATACCACCCTCATGGAGTCTGTTTCTGACCGTTTGAGCAGACACATGCATATTTGTGGCCTGCTGGAGGTCATTTTGTAGGGCTCTGGCAGTGCTCCTGCTGTTCCTCCTTGCACAAAGGTGGAGGTAGCGGTCCTGCTGCTGGGTTGTTGCCGTCCTACGGCCTCCTCCACGTCTCCTGATGTACTGGCCTGTCTCCTGGTAGAGCCTCCATGCTCTGGACACTACGCTGACAGACACCGCATACCTTCTTGACACAGCTCGCATTGATGTGCCATCCTGGATGAGCTGCACTACCTGAGCCACTTGTGTGGGTTGTAGACTCCGTCTCATGCTACCACTAGAGTGAAAGCACCGCCAGCATTCAAAAGTGACCAAAACTTCAGCCAGAAAGCATAGGAACTGAGAAGTGGTCTGTGGTCACCACCTGCAGAACCACTCCTTTATTGGGGGTGTGTCTTGTTAATTGCCTATAATTTCCACCTGTTGTCTATTCCATTTGCACAACAGCATGTGAAATTGATTGTCAGTGTTGCTTCCTAAGTGGGCAGTTTGATTTCTCAGAAGTGTGATTGACTTGGAGTTACATTGTGTTGTTTAAGTGTTCCCTTTATTTTTTTGAGCAGTGTATATATCCACGTCACTTGACTTGTCCTTTAACGTACTAGCACTAGAGAGAATTCATATTTTTGAAACTTACCAGTATTTTAATACCAAAGTACAACTTCCTGTGAACTAACCCTTTAAAGTTGTGGGACAGCTGAACGTGTCATTCTTCATGGTGAGTACTTAGCTACATTTTGTAGACCCACAGCTGACATTTTCGACTAGTCATAGCAGGAGAAGCAGCAGTTATTAATGCCCTCATTAATGTTATAAAATACACCTGTGCTCCTCCTGCTATGACGTGTCAAAAAGGTCTGCCGCTAAAAGGGCTCAGTTCACGTAAACTCTGCGTTCACTTAAACGCAACTTACACCAGTTCCCAGCGGTTTGCGGAGAACAGCAGGTGCACCGTGTGGTCCTCTAAGTCACTTTTCTTCTCCAGGTAGGCGCTTATCAGCTGTCCAATTGTCGTGGTCCTGTCTGACTCCGAGAAACCGCACCACGGCACGTTGTGTTAATATTGCACAGTATTGGAACAACAATAATGCTAACATTAAGCACTAACGTTGTATTACACCAATAACATGCCTCACCGGGGAACCTCATCATCTCTGCGGGTCGGCCGCTCTGTTGCAGCGCCTGAACCAGTCTGTTGCACTGCGTAGTCTTGCCGGCCTTATCCATTCCCTCCAGCACAATGAGCGCTCCTCTCTTACACGCCATTACTGACGGCTGTTTGTCAGCACTGTGCTGTGTGGTTGACGAACGAGTTTGTTGGCTAAATCTCACCACGCAACGGTAGTTTCCTTATCATCATTTACGCGCCATTTACGTGTAAATTGTCAACACGGAAGTACGATGACGCACTTCCGGTTTCGCTTGTTTTAGTTTTTTTTAACAACTTTATTGAAATAAAAGTAAGTTAATTTAATTACTTATATACAGTCTATGGTTAGAATATAATTTGGGAAGCTTATTAAAAATAGATAAAATTAAATAAAAACAATTTTATTTATTTTCATAGAAATTGATTGGATTTTCCATTTTAATTGTTGAACTCTTTTGATATAATGTTATGTAATAAATCCACAATGCACAGCAAGTGCAAAAAAAAACACCAGCTGGTATTGATAAGATTATCTGAATGTAAGGTTTTCAGTAAGAAAGATGCCAACCATGAGAAAACCCACTGATATAATTAACCTATATAGAGGGCAAAATATAGTTTTCTATATGCGTGAAATGTTTCTAATATACCATTAAGAATGGTCAAACTATTCGTTACTGCCTGTTTGTATTGGACTGAAAAACAAAAATAATAGGTAAAGTATATGATCACAGACTGCCGCTGACGAAAGGTACCACAGCATTATGTGGAAAAGCCCACTGTTCCCATTCAAGTAGTGATTGAGCCACAAGTCAATTATTGAGAACAATGATTGATTTATTACACAGTCTCTTCCTTGGTCATCTTTACAGCATCCAACCGTAACATGTTACACTTTGCTCTTGTGGCAGTGTTTCAGAGCGTCTTTCAGTGCTGCCAGCACCATGTCAACATTGGCCTTGCTGCTGTTACATCCCATCAGTCCAACACGCAGCACCTAAGAGGACAAAAAACAACCGGGATTTAGGCTACACAGGACTTCAGTGACTTGGAGGGAATAGTCAAGTAGAAACAAATTATTATGCAAATAATTTTTACGAATTTTTCTTTTACCAAGCCAACTGATGGTCCAAGCCCTCCGGAAATCTCTAAATTATGTGTTTTCATGATGTAGGTTGTGATCTCTTTCCAGTCATATCCATGAGGAGCAACAATAGTGGTAACCGTGGGGAGCCTTGCTTTCTGTAACAACCATTTAAGTCAGAAATAGTAACATGTTTCCCTTTTTATAATTATTTGTAGATTATATAATAAAATGAAATGGGAGTGTTGAAACTTGAAACTCACTTTTTCTTTGACAAAAAGTTTGAGTCCCATGCTTTCTAGGCCAATGTGGAAATACTCTGCTGCTTTCTGATGTCTTTCCCATGAATTCTCCAGGCCCTGAGAGTAACAGAACAAGGCATAAAAACAGACAAAATATAGTACAGCTGAGGTGTTAACTCATATTTTCATTTTATACATATTCATTTTCAGGGTTTACTACACAATGCCATGCTAGCATCTCTGTGAGGCTGTTCTTCTTAGGCACAGCGGGGCTTTGAGCTAAATGCTAACATGCACGCAATGCCAATGCTAACATGCTAATGTTATGTAGCGTTTACCATGTGCCCTTATTTGAGCATGGCAACTTTTGCTATTTAGAACTGTGCTTTCATAGAGTGCATCTCAAGGCAACAGCTCGCTAGCTGTTCTGACTATTTATAATTGGCACAGAGTTGGAATGGTATATTTTTTTGTCACTGTACAACCTGCACAGTGGCTATCTGAAAAGAACTGTTGAAGCTCCGACAGATACAAAATCCAAATATTTCACTCGAACACGTCCCACCTCCTCAACAAGGACCGCCAGACTCTCCCTCAGGGAATAGAAAGCAGTGACTGGACCTGTGTGATGATATCTATAGAGAAGAAATGGAAAAGACAGAGCAATATTCAGGAATTGTGCAATAGTGGCTAAAAATGAGAGCACCATTTAAAACTGAATCGGTTCCGTAGGGGGGGGGGGAGGCGTCTTACAGTCTTGACGGCTTGCCATCACATCCCCAGTAGTTTGCAAGCCAACTCAAATCCAAGAAGAACGACACAGGCTTTGTCCTGCGGTTGAATATTTTCTGGCTGTGGACAGATGCACCTTAAGTACACTTTACATATACTTTAAAGTATTACTTGTTTGTACATTTCTCACCATGCTCTTTCACTGAAGGAGATGGGTGCTGTACCCGGAGGGGCATTCAAAACCTTTTGGGAGCCTGTATATAGGATGTCTATCTCTGAAAATACAAACATCCACAGAAGAAAAAAAAATCAATCAATATTTGTGTCACCAAAATAGATAATAAAACAATAAAATGGTTTCACCAGTCGCCCCAGAGAGACTGGGAACATGTAGCAGGATTTAATACTAAACCTAGCTGGTCCATGCACAGAGGGGCCCCTCCAACTGACGCCACGGAGTCGACGAGAAACAAGCAGTTATACCTGTAGGAACAAACCGTAACATTATCTGCCCTTATTATCATTACAGATGTGATGATGACTGAGGCGCGAGCGCCGCATCTTACTTATGGCACAGCTGTCCGATGCCATTTAAAGGATGCAGGACTCCCGTAGAAGACTCTCCATGTGCGAGGAAGAACACCACTGGTCGGTGTTTTGATAAGGCCTGTGATGAGATAACAGTATGATCGCACGGACTGAATTTATTTGTGTTACCTGATAACTTTAGAGTCAGAGTGATACCTGCTCTATTTCTTCATTCATGAAGAAACCACCAGGGGCCGCCACGATGGTATTTACTCTGGCTCCTGTTGGGTTAACACACGTGTTGTTATGTGGCGGAATCACTTCAGAATCATTTTTATTTCATCAATTACTGCTTAGGTGTTTTTATCATTGTCAACAAACCCCTTGAAAACGAGCCACACCATTGCACTGGATGTTCCTTCATTATGATGAATGTGTACATATACATCATACTGCTGCTGTCAATCCTAGCGTGCCAAATGTGTATTATTCCACTGCTGAAAATAGTCCCCAACAAATGTACTGTTTACTCCTGTTCAGGTGCTCTTTGCTGAAAACTACAGTGCCCAGCTGTTTTTGTAGAAAATTACTGAGCCTCCTTCAAACTAAACTATATATTTATGATCTATTTTCTTAGGATTTACATCTTCAGATGAAACCAAGGAATAGGGCGGGGAAGCCCGAAAATCTTGAGAGGTGGACTAATACCGTGTCGGTTTTGGTCTCTTCATGGGACTTCTTGACAGAAAAATAGAGAGAGCCAGCAGCCTTACCAATCCTCTCAGCCATTTCTGCTGCTCTCTCTCCCCATATGCCGTTGACCGCGGTCAGCACACTCTCCCCAGACTCCACTGTGTTGAAGATGGCACACTCCATCGCGGTGTGGCCAGTGCCGCTCACAGAAAAAGTCATCTTGTTCTGAGTCTGGAACATGTACTGGATTCCACTTTTGATGTCATTCATTATCTGTGACAAATAACAAGCAAACAATTGGGGGGGTAGTTTGAACAGAAATATATTTTCTCTTTAACTCTTCCCTGTTCCTTACAATGTGTGGCAGACTGAGGGCCACAGGTTAGCCGCAGCCCCTTTAATCTGTCCAATCATGAGGCAAACGAATCGCCGGCACAGAGGCATGAAAACTGTCATAAAGTCAATGGTTCTAGCTTCTGACATGTGACAATCGGCTGGTTGATCATATTAACAATAAACTGAACACGTATTGGTTTGGGAACAAAACATTTACAACATGTCAACCCTGAGCTTTTGGACATTCTGATGGGCATTTTTTACTTATTTTTGACATTTTATGGACCACACCGACTAATTGAGAAAACTGCCAAATTAAAAAATATAAGGTGCAGCTGTCTCTTTCACTCTCTCACTCATACATACACTCTCACATACACACACACATAGAAATATATGTCTATACTTGTGGAACCCTTATTGACATAAAACGATCACTTGCATAACTTAACCTTAACTGTCCCACCTAAATGCCGCACACCAACCCTGCCCCTAACCCTAACCCTAACCTAAATCTATCATCAACCAAGTCTCAACCTTCAAACAGTTCTTTGAAAACCGACCAGTGTCTTCACAATGCAGAAATGTCCTCACTACGATGGTTTGAAACGGAAATTGGTCCTAACAAAGGTAGCAGGCACACATGCACTGTTTTTTGAAGAAGACTTAATCAAAACGACATAGCTTGGCTGCAGTTAAGCAATTTCCAGTATTGGGAGTCTTACTTGGATCTTTTACTTGAGTAAAAGTGGCAATAACATAGTGAAGAAATACTCTAACAATAGACGTCCTGCATTCAACATTCACTTAGGTAAAGATATAGAAGTATTGTCAGCTAAATGTACTTACAATATCAAAATTGGGTTTTTCAAATCTATAAAATGCATCATATTTCATTGTTTGGTTATTTGTTTTGTACCTGCAGATATAGAGTTAAAAGCACAATACTCCCCTCTGAAATGAGTGTATAAAGAAGCATAAAATGGAAATACTCAAGTAAAGTACAATAACATTAAAACTATACTTAAGTACAGTCCACGAGTAAAGGCACTAAGTTACTTTCCACCAATGTATGTAGATGCTACATTTTTTCTATGCGTGTTAAACACCCGTGTTACCTCGAATATCTCTGGATGCATGTGTCCAATGACAGGATTGGCCCCAGCCTGCAAGATCCGCGGGGGAACATTGGAAGGTCCCGGTCCAAACATGTGGCGATAAGGAACCACTAACGGCTTCTGCAGGCATTTTGGTGGTGGGACGGAGACGGACGACATGTTTGCCAGCAAGCGTGACAGGCGCAGTGAAAACCACAAAAAGCCGTGGAAGCAGGTAAAAGTACAGCCTGAGCTGAGCCCCACCCCCTCCGTCTGACCAGTGAGGTCCTCAGGTCAGGAGTCTGTCACATTTTCTGCTTTTATCTCCGGCTTCTTCTGTCAACACATGTTGCCTTCTGTGCACAATGAGCTCAGGCAGCTGGAAACATTTTAAAGATAAGGGAAGTCACCCATCATGTCCTCAAATGTTAATCATTGACCACAGACTCTCGCTTAACCATTATACTGCTGTGCTTGACGTCTTTTCCACAAACTAGAGTTCTTGTTACCCTCCATTTTAAATCAGTTCATTTTAAGTTCTAATAAATTACAGTTTGTAAGATTGATAGATTTTACCTATAAATATAAAAATATATATATAATTAGAACTTAAAATGAACTGATTTAAAATGGAGG